GTTAGGTCTTGTTTAGGTTTTATGTCTGTCTTTGAATTTTGACTTTTAAAGTGATTTTATTCATTTTTAGTTTAGTCGAACTGATGATGGAGCTGGACTCCGAAACGTTTTCAATATCGATATGGTGAATTTTCTTGGCGTTTTCTTTGCTTTTAAATTCCTTAATAAATACAGTTTACGTGAATAAATATTTGTTAAGAAGCTATGCAGGAGGCCAGGAGCATATGTTCAGTCTTAAAATGCCTTGCAAATTACGGAGCAGACAATAAGTCTAGCAGCTATCTCAATCAATAGTCAGTTATGGAAAGATCGGGTTCCAAAGGCCGGATCCCTTGTGAATCAAGTCACGAAAATTTCAAGAATCGGCAACAGGCCATGGGCCTATGTCTTCAGTGCCGACACTTCTATTCTATTCTACATGAGAATGTTATATCCTCTGTAGATGTAAATATGAACTGACGTGAGGATGAATCATACAAAGATTCGACAATGCTGGCAAGTATTGTTGTCAACTGTGTTTGTTAAAATTTTAATCCTGATCACGTGATTGTGCTCAGTGCCGCAATTTTCGCTCAACAATCATACAATGACAGTAGATCTAAATTTTTCAGAGATTGTCGCAGTGACGCATGCAGTCTTGGTTATAGTGGAGCCGCCTTAAACTTACAGTTACAGAAGAACGTAACTGATACTGATAGGGTCAGACAAATAATAATAATAATAGCGGTTTCAGTGTTTATTAGGACATCGCAGAGCATCCACAGCTTGTTGAGGTCTCGAACTCACAACTCACTGATTCTAATTCTACCGTGCTTAACCGCCCGGCCTCCTTGCCGATGCTGACCAGAAACCGGCGCACAGAGTTGGGATCGAACCCGCGCCTCTCTGCGCCAATCTTGGTATTCTGAACTGTAACCACTGGGCCACCACTGGGCCACAAGAGGAGGAAAGCTCAGCGGAAAAAGGAAGGAGGGACGAGAGTTGATGTTGCAGCATCGAGAAGATAATAAACGTGAAGGTAACTCAAAATATTGAGATAGAAACTGGAAAAGATCATGTTACACGCCAATGTTCCTCACAATTCATTATCTACGTCTACTAAGTCCTTGATTGCCTAATTCCTTCACCTTCAAATGAGGGAGGATACGACAGGTACCAGACCAACGATCGCCATGGGCCTATTTCTTCAGTGCCGACACTTCTATTCTATCTGTGACCTCTGTTCGGTTCGAAGTTTTAGGTTCACTATCCATGACCATTACGGACGATATCAACAAACGGTACAATCAGAAGAATCGTTCTCATGATATCTTTTGCTTTTGAGGGATAATTTATCGAAAATGGAATCATGGGCTATAATACTAATAGCGGCTTCAGCTTTCATTAGGCCGTAGCCCTGTCACCGATTTTCAACATTGCAGAACATTCACAGCTTGTAGCGGTCTGGAACCCGCATCTCTCTGCTCCAATCCTGATACTCTGAACTGTAACCACAGGGCCACCCTGCCCAGTGTTGAAACTTGAAGGAAATATTGATGAAGTACTTGAATGACATATCAAAATAGAGATAAATTCCATACATGTTTCGTTCATCACATACAATAATGTTAGCACACTCGGTATAGGACTATAGGTGATACAAGCCTCGGCATATATGTCAGCGTACTTGGGTTAGTTGAAACAAGTTTCATCAGTTAATGTTTGACATGCATACTTTATAATATTATATGAACAATAGAATGGGAATAATAATTCTAACGTGAACATTTATTGTTTATACATTAACCACTTATAATACTATCCGTACCAGTTCGTTAGACTAACCTATGGCACTCTCAGTGGTGCCCGGCATCTATTGCCTGACATATCCTATAGTGCGAATCACCATCAACCAAATAAAATGCAATGAACATTTCCTGAAAATATGATAAGATTAGGTCATCAACGATACAGCCAATAACAAATTCTTCTCACTATATAAACATTTGGATTATGTACATAAAAGGCGCCAGTACCTAACTTACGCTTTAATTACTTGTTAAAACCGATCGATTGCGCTAAATTGATTTGGGAACAGATTACTTTGGTGGTCATCTATACATTGTCCTGGAATGCACGCAATTTTTTATACTTTCTCTCGACAAAGCTACAAAAAGCTACTACGAACTCTACCGTTCCTGCTTAGTTACATCCTAAGACATAAGTAAACAATAAACATAACATAAGTAAAATAACTAAAATTTGACGCACAACAGTGGTGGCTCTCCCCATCGCCCGATATTTCTATGAAAAATTCTTCCAGAGTCAAGCATAGATACTGAATTAAAATGTATAAAACGGTTTCATGATTTATCAAACAGTTCATGGCCTGGCCCGGCTAGTCTTGGATGCCTCTAACTTTAACAATTCGCAGAGTTAAGGTTTCAATCGATAAAAAAATTCACATTAATCACATTAAAATTGGCCTTCATGAGCTCGATGGTACATGTATGTAAATAGTGATGAGTGCACCTTACATTGTCCATGGTGTCAGCAGATAATCAAATAACATACGAGAAGGTTGCACTCAGCATGGGCAGATATTTTGTACTGACCAGGCAGAAATCACCAAGTATTGTCAGTTGAGAAGCGTTTGATTGTTGGGTTATAAAGTGTACTCTCACCTAGTAAAACATCATCGTAAGAGAGGAAAACCTTAAACTGGTGGTGTGGAGATATATTGCGCATTTGCCCGACAAATGAACTCATTTAGTTCAGGATAACAGCAATAATAATGATTATCGTGAGTTGATGGTCTTGAATTACTTTCGACTGGAATTTCGGGTTACAGATGAACGATGTTCTTCAGTTCCTGACTACAGTTTAACCGGGAGATTGTCTACCTAATTTACAATAACGCGACAAATGAGAATCTTGCTCTTAATTACTAATATAATAATAGCCCTTCTGCGTAATAGCTCATTTGGAATGGTAATAATGTAGCGTTTAACGTTCCAAGCACCAGTTTATAGAAAACAAATTACCTTTTCTCCGGATGCATTAATACAAAAAATGTCCAATAAACGACAGCTTACTGTTTATTGGACATATTATATAAATTTCCTTTCATCGCTACAAAAAAGGTGTAAATGCGAATATGAAGCGCCTTCCAAGCTGGCTAAATATCAGTTTCGTCTTCAATTTGGATAGAGTGATACTGTGATACCCCATGGACGGCTGTCCCAGGGACACCCAACTAGACAGGCCCCGGGAGCTTGTTGCTTTATGGAGAACCTTCTGTGTTGTTGTTCTCTCTTCCGTACGAGTCTTCACTGCTCGCTGTAGAAATAAACACAAAATTTTTGAGCTGTTGTTTACAACACCCAAATGAGTGAGTCTTACAGCGGCATCTAATTATTATTTTCGAGAAGACGGTAAATTAACTGCGACGTACATATAGCAATAGATTACTAAAATGCAGATGGGAGAAAACACTGCAACTTACAGAGGGACAAAGGAGGAGGCAGCGACGGCAGTAAAGGTTCCTGGACGTCGTTGAGGACGACGTTGTTAGGGTTAAATACGGCAGAGTCGAAGATCACGAGCTGCTCGCCGCCACTCAGCGGAGGTGGACTGCCGCCATGTTGCCAGAGGAGGTCCAAATTTCGTGCACTGATCAGTGGAGTGGCCACCTGCCATAATTCATATAGTTGCCGACAGGTTCCAAATATCTATTTTCAAGGTAAAACATTATGACCGGTTGTTATTCTACACTCACCGTAAGGTAACTGATCTTAGTTCTCACAACGTTCAATTATCAATTATGGATATTTACCCCTTAATTGGGGCCTACGTTTCGTTCGAGGGATATGCCTTCTCTTCAACTATAGTAAACAATTAAGACAAGAAAACGTTGCATACCAAACGCAACCTGAGCTTCTCGGGATCAAGCACGACATTTTCGGCTTGAAACATTGCCAGACTTTTCATTGGCTGCCAAGATATTTAATCTCGGGAATCGTTAGTCAACTGTCTTATCGTAATTTAACTATATAACCGCTAGTCAACTGTCCTATCGTAGGTCAACTATCAAATAGTAAGTTAGCTATATAATCGCAAGTTAACTTTATAATCGTAAGTCAACTATGCATGACGCTGGGTAATACAATACAAATACTAGCGTAACTGAGCAAAACGAAGCAATAAACGTGTTATATTCCAGCGTTAACAGAGTGCAGCGCAACCCAATAAGGTTAAAGGTATCAATGCACTCACACTGACGGTTTTCTCGAACTTTTCGAAGCAGATGACGTAGTTGAGGGCCGTGGGATCGTATGAGATGGCCGACTGGAACCTGTGGCCCCACAGCACGTCTCCGTTGCGGTACGAATATCGCGCCTGCATCGTCGTGCCTGTGCTCTCCGATGTTCCTTCCAGGTACACGACCAGCTCGAACCTATGCAATGTACAGTAGTTTATGAACTCGCAAGAACCAGGGTTCGCAACCTTTCAAGAAACCGGGTTCAATACCTTGCAAGAAACCTGGTTCACAACCTTGCAGAAAACCGGATTCAAAACCCTGAGAGAAACCGGGATCACAACCTTGCAGAAAACCGGATTCATAACCCTGAAAGAAGCCAGGTTCACAACCTTGCTGAAAACCGGATTCAAAACTCTGAAAGAAGCCGGGTTCACAACCTTGCTGAAAACCGGATTCAAAACCCTGAAAGAAGCCGGGTACACAACCTAGCAGAAAACCGGATTTAAAACCCTGAAAGAAGCCAGGTTCACAATCTAGCAGAAAACCGGACTTAAAACCATGAAAAAAGCCAGGTTCACAACCTTGCAGAAAACCGGATTCAAAACCCTGAAAGAAGCCAGGTTCACAACCTTGCAGAAAACCGGATTCAAAACCCTGAAAGAAGCCAGGTTCACAACCTCGCAGAAAACCGGATTCAAAACCCTGAAAGAAGCCAGGTTCACAACCTCGCGAGCCTCGCCAATGATTGGATAAACTTATAGCTGACTCGTTAATTCAGATCAGCCCCAGCAACCTTGCAGTTCCTCGCGATCTTGGCTACAACATTTTTATATTTTTTCTCTTTTCATTACGACTATAATACCGCAGCAGAGAAAAATCTTATAATTATACCACATTTACACACTTCTCATTAATCATGCTGGTGGCGTCTATAGTCTATACTAATACCAAATTAACGCACTTCTCATTAAGTATGGTGGTGGTATCTATACTAAGAACACAATAATGCACTTCTCATTAAGCATGGTGGTGGTATCTATATTAATAACACATTAACGCACTTCTCATTAAGCATGCTTATGGCATGTATACTAATTCCACATTGACGCACTTCTCATTAAGCATGCTGGCACCGCCTATACTAATACCACATTAACGCACTTCTCATTAAGCATGCTGGCACCGCCTATACTAATACCACATTAACGCACTTCTCATTAAGCATGCTCGCACCGCCTATACTAATACCACATTAACACACTTCTCATTAAGCATGCTCGCACCGCCTATACTAATACCACATCAACGCACTTCTCATTAAGCATGCTGGCGGCGTCCATGTCGTAGAAGGGCGAGTCCTCGTCGATGACGTGTACGATGGTCACGGGCCAGATGAAGAAAAGATCTTCACTGAAGTCGTCGCTGCCGACCTTCACTTTGCTCATGTGGAACTGGATGAGCTCGCCTTCCTGCGTCGTGCGGCTCCTGATCAGCTGCGGGGCACTAGGCATTACTATTACATTACATTACTGTTGCGTCTCTTACATTGCCAGTCAACTGATCAGGTATAACTGTTGCCTCTGTTACATACCAGTGGCCAACAGATCAGTTATAATTGTTGCGTCTATCTATTACATTGACTGTTACATTTAGGACGCCTGAGAGAAGGCTCACCCTGGCCTTAACTGTAGCACCGAAGATCAGAGGGAGCCTACCGTAAAAATAGGAAGGCTCACCCTAGCCTTAACTGTAGCACCGACGATCAGAGGGAGCCTACCGTAAAAATAGGAAGGCTCACCCTGGCCTTAACTGTTGCGCCGACGATCAGAGACTTCCTGAGGTCGGCCACCTTGACCATAAGGACGAGTTTGTTGTCGCGCAGACACACGACGGCCTTGCGTGAGAAGAGCAGCGTGTTGGCCCGCGCCTTGGACCGCGTCAGCTTCGCGAACACCACTCCCGCCATGAACGCCTGCCACAGCGTCACTCATAAGAATATAAGTAAGCAATCATAACTCAATGGTGTGCAAACTTAACGAGCTTTTGAATACATGCAGAAAATACGAACACGAGCATAATTCTTCAATATATTTATTGCAGAATAGGGAACACGAATCGAATTGAATCTGTAAACGAAAAATTTTCGTGCAATAGACTTCATGATTTCCATCCCGAAATCTTCAAAAGACATACTGATAATTAATGATAGTTGATTACTAAGCCGTAAGGTAGCTTAGAGAAGAATTTGACCGGCAGTTTTTGATTTGCTTAGACAAGGCGATAGCAAAACAATGCAAGAAGATCAAATACACGACAAGACGCATGACCTCACATGTGACCGGTCACTTGTCACGGCCGTCATGTCATACGTGATCGTTCACATGTCACACCGTGACACCACACGTCACACCATAACACTACACGTCACACCTGTCTCTTA